ACCAGGGAAGCCCAGTGCCTACGTTTTAAGGCTGAGGAAACAGATCTAAATATTTCAGCATAGGGCTGGGGATTAGTAGTAAATTCAGTTAACCCACGGAAAGTAAGGCCAAATTCTGGACTACCTTGAAGGCCAGAAAAAGAAGATGAGAACAGATTTGATTAAAGTGAAAACATTGGTAGATTTGGAGCAAAGGATTTGCATATTACATCTACTTTATTTACTCTTTTTTTCTCTGTTAAACTAATATTGATGAGTGTAGTCTAGGTCAATCAAATTCATATTAAATTGTAGTTGACTATACCATAGAGTTCTTTGAGACTAGTACAGGAGGAAGTTTGGAAGGGATTATCAGACAGACGGAGAATAAGTCCTCACGCCTGACTCACTGCTTTGATCTGGTTTATGTATTGTGATTCTGTGCCACATTTCTTTTGAAACAGCTTTAGTAGGTTATAATATTATAAACCACAGTTATAGGTAGTAAAATAATAAAAATCTAGATATGGAAAGGAACTTTTAAAGCTAAGAATATTTCAAGTTAATGGCTATCTGCCTCAAAACTTCCTGGAATAAATTTGGAGGTCAATAAATCTTTTTGCATTATTACTGAAGATAGATCCAAAACCCCCCGGACCAAAGAAGGTTTGCCTCCAAGCTCACAGTACTTTATAATAGAGGGGAAACTTTATAATAGAGGGGAAACTAGCCTCTGGGTCTCTTGTCTTTGGAGATTCTCATTCTTTTTCTTAACTCTGACCCTGCATTTTTACTCTTGTATCATGTTGCAGTTTCACTGCTTGGGATAAAAAATATAGAAAATTTTTAAATATTTTTATAAAATTTTATTAAATTCATTGGCTAATCTCAGAACAAGAGATAAAAAAACAAACCTGAAATCAAATATTTGACTATATTAATCATAATCTCAGAATTAATCTTTTTCAATAACAGATATATTTATGTTGTACTAAATTTTTATGGTTATTTTTCCTTGTTCAAAACTGATTTATTGCCAACTCTATTACTTTTATCCAATCACACTTTAGAAAAACATCATCAACATTTGTATGTCTCATTAGTAGAACTGTCTTAATCCACCATAAAAGTGAATTATTTCTCCCAATTTATTCTAAATTCAATAGCATCACGTTTTTTAAAATGCATTGCCTATTACAGGCTTTGGCTTTTGTCAAACTGATTCCCTCACATCTATATCTCTACTTAGTGTGTTGGGTAAGACTTTTTAGTACTTTACAAAGAAAATTACTTAAATCATCCAACTACCATAATTTATGGGGTATAGTCTATGTGCAAAGCACTGGGCCAAATGCTGCAGGGGAAATAGCAAAAAAGGTACTTTTGCTGTGCCTTTGGAAAGAGTATCTTAGAATGTGAGGTAAAGATATTCCAAAGAGGAAAAGTTTTGGAACACTTACAATGCAACCTATAAATGAGGGCAAATCAAATGCAAAATTAAAATAGTGCAGGATATAGAAGGGAAACAGTATATAGGCGAGTTCACATACTATTGCACTCTTATCTGGCCTAATCCCACCAGCCTCAAGCTCTTCTATTAGCATAAGAGTTGTCTGTTTTATTAGATACTGTTGCGTGTTACATGTTGTACCGTGCCGTAAGCCCTCTGGACTGCTTGAGGATATTGCTTCTTCATTACTTGACAATCCTGACTTTAGCCTGGAAAATTCATCCCCTGATTTGTCTTCCTCAATCTAGCAAGCGTTCTTTCCATTGTCATTGTTTTGTTGCGAGTCCCAAATTGTTGATGGTATCAGAAGCAGATCCAGCATACTCACTAACCACTATCTTAGTCAAAGAGAAAAATCTTACAACTCAAATGAGTATCAAATTGGGCTGAAATTCTCTGACACCAAAGACTGAAAGAGCAGAACAGGACCTCTTGTAAAACATTTGTTTTGAAATTCACTGGCATTTAATGTCAATGATAGGTTGGATCAGAAGAGTAAAAATACTGCCTCCAGAAAGTCATCATTAAAATATTCTTGCTTTTGCTTATGTAAGATATGCCTTTTACACTAATATATGATCATATTACCATGACTCTCAAATACTTATTCCATCTAGGATTAACTTATTATTAGAGGGAGTGAGGCCTTAAAGATATGCAATACAGGCAAACGTTATTTCTAACGTGATACGAGGCAGTCCCTACAGGAATCTTTGGGGGTAGGAACCGAACATGTAGGGCAACTTCAACATACAGGCAAGGCACATGACAGTCCCAGGTCAGACAGAATCCAGCCATGGAAATTGGGACACCAAGGAAGAAAGGAAGGGAGAAAAGAAAGTTATCACCATGAAGCAGAAGTGTGACATTAGAAGGGCATGACCCAAAGAAAAAATGTATCTTTCTTATCAATTCTGCCTTGGGTGATGGATGATAATTTTGGTTAATGTTGAACTGGAACACAAGGGGAAAAAAAAGAAGGAAAGCAAAAAAGAAAAACCAATATTCTTAGTCTTTTCTAGTCTAGGTAATACTGATTACTTAGATGAATCTGCCCAATGACTATTTATAACTTCACAAAACTTTATGGTCCTCCACTCTTCGAATGTCAACTTCCTCCTGTAACTTGTTGTGACCCTGAGCTAAACTTCTAGGCCTGTCTTTGATGCTGCTTTAAGTGCCCAAACACTGGCCTTTCAAAAGCATCACACGAAACGCTGACTTCATTATCTTCTCAATATTGGTTTCTCTTACCATCCTAAGCTAATTCCATGAATGACACCTACAATCAGTCCTAAGACTCTACTTGGCAGATAATTGTGTCTGATTAGCCTTTAATGATGATATTTTAAGAAGTTTTGAGACCTTACTTCCCATTTATAATTTACAGCAAGAGGTACTAATTTTCTATTTATGGGACTAATACAAGATTTTTGAAATAAGTTTATACAATTGAAAAGCTGGGCTGCCTTAAAGAAAGTATCAAAGCAAACAGTCCATGGACTATGTATATAAGTTAAAGTTGTAAAACTGATTCACAGATGACTTATTTCAAAACTCTGTCACAAGTCTTAGAATACCCTCTATATGCTGGTAGTTGCCATCTTTTCATTTTCAATACTTACTGTCCCTACTTCCATGTGAATCTTATGTAACAGCCATTGTTACAATTCCTTGCACACGGGTGTACTGCACCCCCTCCCCCTGGCTTTTCCCAATGTCAGTTACTTTACTTGGAATTAACCTCTCCAGTCATGGGTGGAGGGATCATCTCCATCCCCATTTATGTGCCTGACAAATGTCTCCTGGTGTTTTTTAAAACTCACCAAAACACATCTCACTACAATGATGTTTTAGATTTCTACACTTATCCTTAAAAGTTCTTAACCTTCAAACACGTTTCAGTCCTTTTTGTATCTCTAGGCACTTGCCACAAAGCCTGAATCAAGATAGGAACCTAAAAAATGTTTTGAATGAATAATTATTCCTTAGATATTAAAAATTAATGTTTAATACATTAGAGCAATAAATAAACCTTTTCTTTTGGCTCTGGGGAGCAGTTCCACCAAAGATTTCTGCCAGCCATGTTTGCCTCTCAAACTCTAAACAGAAGCATATACAAATCCTGAGTACTGACAGTCTCTAGATGTTGCTTCCAGAAATCAACAGTTTATCTTTATGGCCTATTCTCAACTCTAACTGCTTTCCATTACATATTCTCTCCTTTTTTTTTTTTTTTTTTTACATTTAACCAGAAGTATATTTATTTAGTCCTCCGAAATGTGTTTTTTTTTTTTTTAACATCTTTATCAGAGTATAATTGCTTTACAATGGTGTGTTAGTTTCTGCTTTATAACAAAGTGAATCAGCTATACATATACACATATCCCCATATCTCCTCCCTCTTGCATCTATCTCCCACCCTCCCTCTCCTTTTAAAGAGTCTCTTTAATTTAAAAGTCAAGCATATCAAGTCTTCTGTCCTGCTTCACAGGATGTAGGGGACATTATTCCAAGGCCTGAGGCTTAATAGGTAGATGAGCAAATGTCCCTTCTCCCTCAATGTACTGTATCAATGATTTCTAAGGATAATTTAGTCTAACACTCCACGAGAGGTTAGAGTATTTGCCAATAATTCTGTTTCCTAAAAGAAAATTGTAAGTTTAGAGCACAGCATAGTCTTTGATATTAAAAAAAATAGACAATTTTAGCCTGAATATGACTTTGAGTAGTCTCCTGGTATCTGTAATCTTTCCCCCCAAATCCTTTATATTATATGTCAAAAAGAGAAGAAAGACCCTTAACAAAAGATGGATCAGACTACATTTGGGTTTTTGGTGTTTTTTTATTTTTTTTATTTTTTTTGCCATTTCAGAAGAAGTCATTCAACCCATTCTGTTCAACCCATTCTGGATATAGTTGTGAGGGATGATGACTTCCCCAGGACAGAATCAGAATGCCAATGTCCTATCCCTATTTATTCCTTTGTAAGTTGTGGACAGCCAAATCACTGGGTTTCAAATGACAGAGCTCTCACAAGTTTCAAGAAAGAGGAAGACAGTTTTTCTAATCATTTAAGTACCATTTAGTCTGATTTGTAATCTATGGAGACTGCCAGAGAAGGCAAAGGGTTCTTGTGGAGTAATATAGAGGGGCTGGAAGTTCTGAAAGTAGTGGAGAAGACGACTAGGATCTCAAGTCAGGAGAGTTGACTGAGAAGGGGTTTGCTACTCAGAAGTGCTAGATAAGTGATGCTAAAGACCCTGCCATTGTTGACATTTAAATGCCTGGAAATATTGGATCTGAGTTTGTGATAGCTGACCAGCCTGCTTTCTCAGCACTTGCGTCAAGAGACCTCATGAAAGAAAAAGGTGTGTTGAGGGATAGACTCGGTGTCAGCCATCTTTCAGGTGTGTTCGCTGCCGCCTCAGCGCCGCTGTCGCTCTCCGTTGCCAGCGCCGCCTCTAGCTCCCTGAGCTCCAGCTGAAGGAGAAGGGGGGTAAGTAAGGAGGTCTCTATACCAGGGCTCGTACAAAGCAGACTGCCCAGAAATCGACCGGTGGTAAAGCACCGAAGAAGCAACTGGCTACAAAAGCCGCTCGCAAGAGTGCGCCCTCTACTGGAGGGGTGAAGAAACCTCATCATTACAGGCCTGGCACTGTGGCACTCCTTGAAATTAGATGTTATCAGAAGTCCATGGAACTTGTGATTGGCAAACTTCCCTTCCAGCGTCTGGTGAGGGAAATTGCTCAGGACTTCAAAACAGATCTGGGCTTCCAGACTGCAGCTATTGGGGCTTTGCAGGAGGCAAGTGAGGCCTATCTGGTTGGCCTTTTGGAAGACACCAACCTGTGTGCTATCCATGCCAAACATGTAACAATTATGCCAAAAGACATACAGCTAGCACGCCGCATACGTGGAGAACGTGCTTAAGAATCCACTACAACGGGAAACATTTCATTCTTTAAAAAAAAATTATCTTCCTGTTATTGGTAGTTCTGAAAGTTAGATTTTTTTCACCCCCATGAGGTCAAAAGGTACCTAAGTGTATGATTGCAGGTGGAAAAATAGGGGACAGAAATCAGGTATTGGCAGTTTTTCCATTTTCATTTGTGTGTGAATTTTTAATATAAATGCGGGGACATAAAGCATTAATGCAAGTCAAAATGTTTCAGTGAACAAGTTTCAGCAGTTCAACTTTATAACAGTTATAAACAAACCTGTTAAATTTTTCTGGACAATGCCAGCATTTGGATTTTTTTTAAAAAACAAGTAAATTTCTTATTGACTGCAAAAAAAAGAAAAAAGAAATATTGCACAGTTTGAGCCCAAAGTCTCAGACAATCTACCATTACGTTACTGTGATAAGTAGAATAAACACCCCTTCCAAAAAAACGAATAAAAAGCTGTTCAAGGGCTTCCCTGGTGGCGCAGTGGTTGAGAGTCCGCCTGCCGATGTAGGGGACACGGGTCCGGGAAGATCCCACATGCCGCGGAGCGGCTGGGCCCGTGAGCCATGGCTGCTGAGCCTGCACATCCGGAGCCTGTGCTCCGCAACGGGAGAGGCCACAACAGTGAGAGGCCAGCGAACCCCCCCCCAAAAAAAGCTGTTCAAATATTAATCCCCAGAACCTGTGAATAAGTTATGATCCATGAGAATAGGGGAATTAAGGTTCAGAAACAAAGTTACTCATCAACTGACTTTAAAATAGGGAAACTATCCTGAGTTAGTCAGGTGGGCCCAAAGCAATCACAAGAGTCCTTAAAAGTAGATAAGACGATTAAAAGAAAGAGCCAGAGAGATGGCAGTGTTAGAAGGATCCTGGCCAATATTGCTGGTTTTTGAAGATAGAGAAAGGGAATCATCAGGCAAGTAGAGCCGGCAGCCTCTAGAAGCTGGAAAAGGCAAGGAAATAAATTCTTCCCTAGAGCCTCCAGAAAGGAATGCAACCCACCAACATTCTGATCTTAGCCTAGTGAGATCTGTGTTAAGTCTTCTAATCTACAGAACAGTAAAATAATACATTTGTCTTATTTAAGCCACTAAATTTGTAGTAAATTATTATAGCAGCAGTAAAAAATGAATACAAATGCCAGGAATTTTTCCTTTGCCACCATTGACTACTTCATGGGGAGTCTCCTCCCCAGTTCCACACTGGATGACTCGAAGACCAAGGGAAGCCCCTGGTCACTCGCCAGAATGGTATACAGAAGATAGCATTCTTGTACTCGGCTCTGAAACTGAACTCACGACATGATCACAGGAGAGTGATGATGAGAAAAGGACACCTCTGATTTTATGATGCAAATCTGTTCTCTGTCTCTGCACAACCCACCACAAATCACCTATATTTGCAACCATCCTACCCTTCTCTGCATCATAACTGGGGATTTATTACCTCTCCACCTGTCTACAGATGGTGATTTGAAACTTATTCCCTTTTCCCTCATAAGCATTTGACTGAATTGATTACTTTTCCTCTCCATTGTGTATTTAATCCCTCCCTCTGGTATGAAAACTTCCTGCTGTGATTTTTAAACATTACCAAGTCTCTTTCCTCAGCAAACAATCAACAAAAGAAAAACTTTCCTTCTGTTTCCTATCTCTGTCTAGAACCCTGTGGGGGGGGGGGGAAACAACTACAACAACAACAAAATAAACTGCTCTCTGTAATACAAGTACTGCTGTTTCACAGGTCCATTTGTCATCTCCCTTTCTTTCTTCACTTAAGTCAAACATAGAGTCATAGCTCTCCCTAAGGTGACCAATGAAATGGACATTCTTAGAGCAACTGACATTGCTGACCTCTCCCAATGTCTTCAAGCACTCCTTTATTCAACCATTTGCAAAGGACCATTCTCTATCTAGGAATGCTACTTTTCTCTCCATTTCACCTGATTATTAGTGTACATATCTCAGATTGGCACTTACGCAGGAAGAATTGCCTAATTACGTATAATCCCTCCATTATATACTTATCACACTGTGTATTTAAATGTGAGTTTGCGATTATTTGATTAATGTCTATCTTTCCCATGGGAATGTAAGCTCCTTGATCTCAAGGCCCATGCCTGTTTCTGCTTACCATTAGAGCATAATTTCAAAAACACTGCTAAGAGCAATCCCAAGAACATTGATAGGTACCCAAAAAAGATTTGTTCAGTGAATGATAAGCTTCAAAAGGAAAAAATACACACCTAGAAAAAAGAATGAGAAATCAGTACATTTACTGAGTAGTAATGTGATAAGGACATGCTAAACACTTGGATGGCTCATCTTATTTAATTTTTTAAATGACCCAATGAAAGTAGTAGCTACATTATATAGATGAGAAAACACATTTGGAGAAAGTAAATAAATCCTCCAAGGTCTTACAGTAAAAAGTGGCAAAATTAAGACATGGAATTTAGACGTACTTAGTCCAAAGATTATGCTATGTGGTCTCGCACTCATCCTGTCTTTACCTAAAATTTTGCTATTTTGTTCAATTTTTGCATTAATTTCAGTTTTTTGAAGTATTGCATTAAACAGTAACTTTTCTTGATAAATGTGTTTTTGATGCCTCCTTACATTTTGCAGCTGAGATAAGGGCCTCACTTGCCTTACTTACCCCATCCTAGTCTGGCCCTGCACAAATTATAGGGTTTGGTTAAAATGTTTATTCGAAAAGTAAGCTATACCTGGAATGAAGCAATAGAAATCGGCCTCTCAGAGAGAAAATAGGAGAAACCAATATTTTTAACCTGGATCAGAAGGATGAGAATGGGTTTAATAACAGGCTCCATCACTCAGTAAGGTAATGACGAGCAATCTGAAGGAGCAGTGACAGGTGATTCTCCACTGCGCCAAGGGCAGAGAGAGAGAGAAAGCCTTCCAGGATTTTCTATGCAGACATAAAAATAAGTTTATGTTTGGCACAAACATCACTTCTACCATATTCTTTTGGTCAAAGCAAGTCACAAGCCCAGCCCAGATTCCAGAGGAGGGCCAATATACTCCACCCCTTGATGAGAGGAGTTGCAAAGTCACGTTGCCAGGGGTGTATATTCAGATGGGAGAATGGCTCCTACTATTTTATGCCAATATCTACTACAGGTAGCAATGTTAGTACCATCATAACATTACTAGCACTGAGTAAATTAGTTATTCATTTGTAAATCTTTGGTAGTTTAGTTGGCAAATGACAGTATGTTGTTTTATTTTGCTTGTTGACACTTAATTTTGAACCTCATTTTGATAACTGTGGATGGGAATCACATTCTGCAACATTCTGATTGCCTTAGAGGGAGAAGAAGTGATTCTCAAATAAGAGACACTTTAGTTTCTGTTTGTTTGTTTTTGTTTTTCTTGATAGAAGAAAAATTTGCAGCCACCTCTATTCCCCTGCCTGCTCATTTAAGAGACTTAGGTCAATTTACTCTTGGAGACATGTGATCACTGGGTTTGGGCACATCGTGTTAGGAAAGGCCATCCGCAGGTCAGAAATGATGAGATACCAAGTAAAGAGAATCTGTTGAAGCCCTCTCTACTAAAAATGCAGTCTCGGGTTTCCCTGGTGGCTCAGTGGTTGAGGGTCCGCCTGCCGATGCAGGGGACACGGGTTCGTGCCCCGGTCTGGGAAGATCCCACATGCCGCGGAGCGGCTGGGCCCGTGAGCCACGGCCGCTGAGCCTGTGCTCCGCAGCGGGAGAGGCCACAACAGTGAGAGGCCCGCGTACCGCAAAAAAAAAAAAAAAAAAAATGCAGTCTCTGAGTAACACTTAATGTCTCCAAGAGTAAGTAAAAATATTTTAGAATCACCTGGGAATGGACTAAACGGATGATCTTCTGGTTTGAGCCTCCTGGATGCAGTTCTCCTGTCCACATCCAAAGTAAAGGAATTAAGCAGGGAAACAAGTTCTCTAGTTTTACTTTACTGCCTGCCTCAAACAAGGTTTCATTATTAATGGAAATTGTTATAGAAAAACTTGGGATTTTTTCCCCCATGTATTGTTTATATGCCTGTTTAAATTCAAATTTGAGCCAGCAGCTAGGGAAATAAGAATATTTGAAGTATATGGCAAATATCCCATATGCCGAAACCTGATTTATCCAGAAGCGTAAATGCTGAATTATACACCTCCCATTTACTCTAAATTGTACTGCCCACATCTTTGTGGGGCTGCCCATAAGGTGTCTAATGAGTTATATGCCAGCACTTATTTAACAAGAAACCAAATAGAGCGTAACTGAAACCTGGGTACATTTTGTTTTTGTTTTGTTTCAGAGAGCTGTCAGATATTTCAGTCCAATCTTAAAGTTGCTGCTTTCCTTTATTGCAAGTCGACTTCAGAATTTTAGTTACCTCTTGCTACAAAAGGTTTCATTTTACAGGGTGGCAGGAAGAATGAAGATCGATGGTTGCTGGGTCTGGTTGGTCATACCAATTTGTACTGCAATCTAGGTGCTGCAGTCTCTGAGATTTGAGTTTAAATGTGTGCCTTGCAGCTTTAGAAGAAAGATGCAGTCTGCATACAGCTGTAGATCAACGCTGCCAGTTTATTCACAGGATGAGGCATTCATCATGCCTGTGCACATGGGCATTTTGTGGGATAGAGAAAGGAAAGGAAAAGAAAAGGATAGAGATGAGATGAGAGAAGAAAAGAAGACAGCAAAGGAGGGAAGGAGTAAGAAAGAAAGGGAAGGAGGGAGAGAGGAAAGGAGGAGCGGGGGGACACAGGGAGGTGATCTTATTTATTTTCCTAAAATAGCACAGTTACAGCTGTATCTTTTGGATAACAAATCATGGTTTGTTCATAGAAAATAGCATAGGTTGAAAAAATATATATTATTGCTTAATAAATACAAGCTTAATAAAAATCTAATAATAACTAACCTCCAACGCATACTGAATAATAAACAATATTTTTACTGGTATATATCTCTAATTAAT